AAGATGAGTTCAGTTTTAGACACATCGAATGTAAAATGAAGTTGAGACATTCAGGTAGAAATGCCTTATGGGTAGCTTAGTGGAAGTCCTGGAGGTGATAGTTGAAACTTTGAGAGAGGATGAGTTCTCATATAGAGGAAAGTGAAGGCCAGGTTTGGAGTAGGGATAGAGAAGGAAGAGGTGCCAGAGAATAAGCCAGAGAGGGAGGAAAAGAACCAGCACAATGTAATGTCACTGCTGGCCGAGGCAGTTATAAGTACAAGGGAGTGGTGTTATTTAAGACATGATATCCTAAGGGGGCAGCTAGGTGGTGCAGTGGATAGAGCACCGGCCCCGAAGTCAGGAGGACCTGAGTTCAAATCCGGCCTCAGACCAAACACCTGACACGTACTAGCTGTGTGACCCTAGGCAAGTCACTTAACCCCAATTGCCTTACCCCCCACCCCAAAAATGATATCCTGAGAATCCTGCAAGTCAAAGAAGTACACCTTTATTTTTAGTTTCAGAATGTGTTATATTTAAGATTATGCTTATTTGGCCATTTAAATTATTTGAGATAATTTACCATATTATAGCAATGGTAATATATGATTTAGGAAGAAAGGAAGAAGGGTAACCACATGTGTAACATTTCCCCGTGGCAGCTGCTTCATTTTACAACTTATGGCTACAATATTTCTAATGACCCTGTTTAGAAGTTAAATACCATATAGTAAAAAAACAAAACCAAACCAAAAAAAAACCCCTCTAAAGTAGCTGAAGACACATAGGGTTAGTAGAATGGTTATGGTGGTATATTCCAAATCACCAGTGCATATGATCTTGTAGGGAAGACTTCAGGAAAGTTAAAACTGGTTCTGAAGTTTATGATGCATTTTGAATAGACTGGTTCATCAATTTAAAATTATTTCTTTGAAGGTCATGTCCATTTTTAGAATATTTTGGTCTCTTCTTTATGTCAGGCCAATTATTTCTACCTGCGTGGTCTTTCTCCCATCTGGCCCCTCTTTCTCACTCCTGTTAAACACAAGGTCTCATCTTTTCTCAACTAGACCATTGTAATACCTTCCTAACTGCTTTTCCTATCTTCAGTCTATTCCTTTTTCTTTAAAAAATTATACATTATTTAACATTCATTTTTAAAAATTTTGAGTTCCAAATTATCTCCCTCCTTCCTGCCTCTCCCCTACCCATTGAGAAGGAAAGCTATATGATTTCAATTATCCGTGTGAAGCCATGCATTTTCATATTGGCCATGTTGCCAAAAAAAAAGCTAGAAAAACAAAATAAGTGAAAAAAAAAGTATGCTTCAATCTGCAGAGTTCAAGAGCTCTCTCTCTGGAGGTAGAGAACATTTTTCATTGTGAGTCCTTTGGAATTCTCTTGGATCGTTGTATTGATTAGTGTAGCTAAGTCTTTCACAGTTGATCTTCATTACAATATTGCTGTTATTGTGTACAATATTCTCCTGTTTCTGTTCACTTAACTTTGCATCAGTTCATATTAAGTCTTCCTAGGTTTTTTCTGAAACCATCCTGCTTGTCATTTCTTAAAGCGTAATAGTATTCCATCATAATAATATTCTACAACTTATTCAGCCATTTCCTAATTATTAGGCATCCCCTCAATTTCTAATTCTTTGCCACCCAGAAAAAGTACTACTATAAATATTTTTGTATATATAGGTCCTTTTCTTTGATCTCTTTGGCATACAGACTTAGGAGTAGTATTGCTGGGACAGGATATGCACAGTTTTATAGACCTTTCAGCATAGCTCCAAATTGTTCTCCAGAATGATTGGACCAGTTGACAACTCTACCAACAGTGTACTACTGGTGTACCTTTTTTTCCACATCCCTTCCGGGATGTCATTTTTCTTTTTCTGTCATGTTAGCCAATCTGACAGGTATGAGGTGGTACCACAGTTGTTTTAATTTCCCTAATCAATAGTGATTTAGAGAATTGTTCATATCATATGATAGCTTTGATATTTTCTGAAAACTACCTGATCAAATCCTTTAACCTTTTGTCAATTGAGAAATACTCTCATTTTTACAAATTTGACTCAGTTGCTTATATATTTGAGAACTGAGGCCTTTATCAGACAAACTTGCTGTAACAACCCCCCTCCACCCCCTATTTCCTGCTTTCCTTCTAATTTTGGCTATATTGATTTTATTTGTGCAAAATCTTTTTAATTTCAAAGTGGCTCAGTGGAGAGAGCACTAGGCCTGGAGTTAGGAAGACCTGAGTTCAAATCCAGCCTCAGATACTCACTATCTGTGTGGCCTTGGGCAAGTCATTTAACCTCTGTTTGCCTTAGTTCACTGGAGAAGGAAATGGCAAACTATTCCAATAATGTTGCCAAGAAAACAACACACAGTGTCATAAAGAGTCGTATACAATTGAACAACAAAACAAAATTATATATTTGACTTCCCATGATCTTATCTCTTGTTTGGTCATAAACTCTTCCCTTATCCACAGATCTGACAGGTAAATTTTTTCATGCTCTCCTAATTTGCTTATGTCACCCTTTATGTCTAAACCATGTACCCATTTTGACCTTATCTTGGTATATGGTGTGAGATGTTGGTCTATGCCTAGTTTCTCTCAAACTTCTTGTCAGTTTTCCCAGCAATTTTTGTCATTTAGTGAGTTCTTAACCCCATGTGCCTGAATCTTTGGGTTTATCAAATGCTAGATTACTATGTCATTTACTTTTGCATATTGTGCACCTCAGCTAGTCCACAGATTTTGTACACTCTATTTCTTAGCCAGTACCAGATTATCGGTCTATTTACTTTTAAAATGCTCCTTCATGCTGTGGCCTAAGCAATCTTCCAAATATGCTTCTATGATTAGGCAACTCTACCTAAAAATCTTTAATGATTCCCTATTATCTACTGAATAAAATGCAAAATTCTACTCTGACATTCAAGGCCTTCACCAACTTGTTCAAACCTACTTACTTCCTCTGTGCTTGCAACAGATACCTCCCCTATCTTTGTCCTTGACTTCTATGTGAAATTTACCTCTCTTTTCAAATTTCTTGCATTACTTTGCCTGAATAATTCCTCTGAATTTTTCCTCCTCTCTCTTGTATAAATTATTTGTGTTTTTGACTTGTGTTTCCTCCTTTTGCTTGTAAGCTCCTTGAAATCAGGGCCTGTGACATAGCTATCTTTGTATCTAGCGTTATACAGTCCTTAATATTTCTTAATATTGAACTGTTTTTGGGGTGTGATTATTTTACATCCTCTAGTATATGCATTTTACCATTATTACTATTATGATGATTAATGGGCCCTGAGTTCAAGTCCTAACTCCATTATTTACTAGTTGTGTGATCTTTGGCAAATGTCTTACATTCTCTGTTCCTAAGTGTCTTCATTTGTAAAATGGGGATAATACAGTTTTCCCTTCCACATTGTGGTGGTTAGGGGTGTGGCACCCCTGTGATCTGGAAAATCTGTGTAAAATTTTGTGGCTTTCCCTTTGTACCACAGAAGTCTGAATTTTTTCTTTTTCTTTTATGGGGTGTTTATAGTACTATACATATATTTTATCCATTTCTGAGTTTCTAAACTTTTTCTGTGTTGTCTGCCGGCTTTTACATGTTGTCTGCAGCAACTGCAAAACTCCCCCAAAATTCCCATTTTATTTCTTATGCTGACTTTCAATATATTGAACTGCAGTGGGGAAAGTCAGGATGTGGAAAGTCAGGATGTGAAAAGGATAACTGCGATTGCATTGTCTTGGTTACAGGGTCTTTGTAACGGTAAAATGAAGTAATGTATGTATATTTTTTTTCTGTAAACCTCTAAGTATAATGATACATATACAAATATATCTTATGGAGATTAACATTCGCTAACATATATTTCAAGTTGGCTTTGTGGCAAAGAAGTAATGAATTATAAAAAGGGATTGTAGAATTTTGTGGTTGACACTCTAACTAAAATGTCTTGCATTTCAAATGCAGATGGCCTAATATATTTGTTTCAAAGAAACAAGCCAACTATTTTCCAGGAGTGCTGGATAGGATGCTCTACTAAAATACTCTCATTCAACCAGACAGACTCACAGCTGTTTCTATCAAATCCAATTACATCAGGAAGGGGTTCAGGAAAAAAGAAAATTATGGACGGGAAAAAAGGTTTCAACATTCAGAATTATTCTCTATATTTAAACAATTATAGTCTCATTTTATTTCAGAATACCCTTGAAAAATGATTTTTACTATAAAGCCACAACATTATACATATAGACAAAAACCTTGTTAGCAAAACCTTGTTATGTGAGCACTGGTTATTATAATACTGTAGAGATACCTAAGATATTTAAAAAAATGGAAACAATATACCCTGAAGGCTGTATATATGTATATATATGAATTCATTTATATATACATATATATGGATTCTCATTACTACTTCTGCAAGCATGTCACTAAGATTTCATCATCACAAAGTATTATTACATGTGATCCAAAAAGTATGCTGATTTTTCAGTGTTATGAATTGAAAATACACAAATGCATAACAGGTCTATCTCAGTGCTTGAAAAAGCATGGTCTCTGAGTACTACAAAACTGAGTTGGGGGGCCAAAACCAGAATCGATTCCTTAGGCTTTGATAGGTAATTAATAAAGAAGAAATTTATGGCTTGTTATGTGCATTTCAAAGGCTGGTCTGTAAGTTTTATAAGCAGAAAAGTAGTACAATATGCAAAACAAATCGAGTCTAAAGTCTACTTAGGTATGAAATGACCTTAAAGTGGAAGTCGTTTACAAGGCATCTGATGCTTAATAGGTACCAAATTAAAAAAAAATTTTTTTCTTAATCTCTAGAGCAAGAGTGTGAGGTATTATGTGTAAAAGAAATTACCTCCCCCGACCAAATAATAAGACAGAAGGCACAAAAATGAAAACTCTTCTGGTGATGGGGCAGAATTTTAAATAAATCAGTGTATTTTCTAGAAAAAAAAAAGACAACTCAGAATTTTACTTTCAGTTTTCAGTAACTAAGAGGGAGGTTCCAGAAACTATAAATTGGCATCCAAAGGTGGACTTTCCCTAAAGATTTAATAAAAAGTGTGATAAAATACTGGCAGATACATTTCTACTGGCAGATATGTTTTTGCTGAAATGCATACTCTAGATGACAAAATTTAATGGATGAAGTTACAAAATAAATCACACTTTCCTGGGCACATTTTCACTGCATTATACATGATTTGGCTAAAAGGTAAAAATTAGCATCTTACATTCTTCAAGATAGTTATTAATATTTTTCAACTAGTATTAACATAAGAATGGAATGCAACAGAACATGATTGTACAACCGTATCATGCAATATTTTGACTTATCAGTCATTATGCCATAGCCAATGATATGGGGGGAGTATATTTTTTTCTTTAAGTCTTTTATGTTCATATGGCATCTTTTAGGATCAAAACTATAAATGAATGCAGATTGTGAGGCGTTTTCAAAGATTTCAGAATGCCTAATAAAGCGTGCTGGAAATATCCCTGTTCCTAGAGTACAGAGCGGTTGCTTGAAGGCCCAAACTACAGCAGTCTCGGCTGCTGCTACTTCTAGTCCTTTGATGCTGCTATTCCTTATTCAAGTGACCTATGGGTATTAAGGTCACAAGGTTCTGTGTGTCCAAAGGAGATTATCCCACTATTTCTGCAGGTTCAGTGACCAACTTGGATCCATCCCATGCTGTCTTGAACTGTTCAGGAACAGGAAATTCTTTCTGGTAGAGGGATAACAAGAATGCTGGTTAAATAAATGAAGGTTGTCTTATATGCATGCAAATAGTTGGCACAATGGCACATTAATGCACATAATGGGTGAAGAATTTATATCTATGGCAAACCTGAGTCACAGAGAGGTGCTCTGCACCACTCTCCAGAAACCATTTCGATACCACACAGAGTCCAAGTCATGTTATTAGTTAGTGATTGTAGGAATACTCCTCACCTACCCTCTGACCTGGGAAGAAAATGTATTGAGGCTAACAGGGAAATCAGTTTCCCACATCCCCTTTTTTCCCTTCCACTCCAATCTGGGAGAAAGACATCAATACATTAGAAAAGCAAAGGAACAGAATAGAAAGGAAAAGTGGGAGTAAAGAAGTTTTGCTGTTTTTTTTTCAAGGACACCTCTCGGGGACTTCATCTAGGGATCTCAGTTAGAGGAAATGAGCATCTAGCTGTCTTTGGCTCTGGAACTCTGGCCTCCCTCATTTATCATTCGGGAGTCACTGAAAATGTTGTAAGTGAACTGGAGCACGTTTTCTTCTAAAATGGATATTTTGGTGAATCACAAAGCTATATTTAGCTGAAGGCAAGACGGATTTTTAATCAGGCCCCTTCTTTTGAGTGTGCATATACGCATATATATGTGTGTATATTTTTGCAGTAAGTACTTGTTGAATGGTAGCATCACCTTTCGTAGAGCCAACAGAAAGTCTCAGAAGGGGCACCTCAAAGAAGCCATATCTTTAATATTCTAGAAGAGTGGCTGGACCAGATGGCTTCTGAGATTCTGTCTGGCTCTTCATCAATGACCTCGACAAACTTTTGGCTCTTCTTGTTGAAGTCAGCACAGTGAATGAGGTTCAGTTTTTGCTATCAAGGCACACTTCTGTGTGACTGTGTGAATTACCAATGTTCTCTGGGTGATCTCAATTCTCCTTTGGAAGGAGTCATTGCTCTTTGAAACTACTGTCCCTTCTATAAAGGAGAGATGTACTCAGTTCAAAGTACATGGGGCTGAGGTGGAGGGGGGTTAGAAAACAAGATATGAAATCTCATGAGAAGTCTTAACCAACAGAAGAATGTACAGAATGCAAACTGGCTTGACACGCAAGTCAATGTGAATTTTTCCACTTAGGTCAAAACACATTTTGCTTTTGTTTTTGGAAGCTGTAGCCCAAGTATGTGTGGGAAGGACACAGAGAGGAAGTGATGGTTCCTAAGACAAGGGAGAGACTCAGTGTTGTTCTCTGCCATCTGTAGGAGCAGTGCTGGCCATGCTTTTCTCCTCACTGGGAATTTCCTCGTGCTTAAGGGAGGTTGGTTGTGGCAGTAGTGACTAGACCAAGTAAATCAGCCTGTGTGCTGGCTCCCCATCAGCTGAAAAATTGACTAGTAGATCATGATTTCTAGTAGATCAAGGCAGATTTTCATCCAGAGAGTGTCATGCTAAGAACCCCAACTAGTTTATCTTTTCCCATTTAATAATATTTATTTTTATTTATAAATATTTATATTTATATAAATATAATATTAAAATATAAAATATAAATAAATATTTATATAATTCTTGAAGGTTTAAGGATAAAATTTGTAAAACATTTTGCAAACCATAAAGTGCTATTTTTATTATCATTGAGGCAATTTAGATACATATTTTGGACTTACTGTAGCCTATTATCAACCATGACTTGTGTGAAATAAATGGAATAAATGATATCAAGCTGGAGCTGTGTGATCCATGGAGATAGATTGGCCATGTAGCAAGAATGAAGGATCACAGCTGGATAGCTTGAGTGTCTCACTGATATTTACATAATGTTTAAAAAATCTAGAGGAGGACCTCTGTCATGTTGGGTAGACCCCACATGGAGAATTAATGGGAAAACACAGAAAAGTAACACAAGAAAAGAAATTGTGGATGAGTTCTGTTCAGCACTACTGGAGGCAGTACCTACATCAGAAAGATCATTGATTCATGGAAGTATTAGAATGCAAGCTCAGAGCTGAATAAATGTTTAAGCAAAAGTATGAATGTTAGCTGTAGAGTCTAAAGAAAGATCTCAACAGTCTGTATACTCACATAATCACCATCCTGTGGAATAAGTATGTTCATTTCAGATGACTTGGCACTCACAATCTCACAGTCTAAAGCTTCTTCACTAAGGTATATGTGGCAGCCTTCTGTCTTATTAATTGAAATTGTTGGCACTTTCCCCATAACCTGTAGTTAAAACAAACGAATAAACCTGTAGCGCTAAGGTAATACATATTAGAAACTCGAACAAATTCCAATGTAAAATTCAATAGGCCTTAAGCAAACCTCATGAATATTTGGATGAGGGCAAAAGGATATAGTTCAGTGGTGGGTTCCTGGAACTGCCATTTTGGGAAAAAGGGATTATAAGAAAGGAATTTTCAAAACTTAGGATCCCCTTCCTGAAAAAGGAGATGGAGGTCCTCATATTATAGCAGTCACTGTCTCCAGAGGTGGCTTAACACTTATTTCTTAGTAGGACTGCAATGTTCATGAAGAAACGAATGGATAATGAATGTGTTAAATCTATGTTTTCATAGATTTAAAAGTTTTTCCCCCATATATCTTTGCCAAGTTTGAATGAACACAGATATTATTGTCATATTACATAGTATTAATAGTAAATAAATGATCCTTGAACGTGATAGCTGATTGATTAATAATTTTCTGAACCAACCAAAAAATAAAGAAACAGGATGGTTCTCCTTAGCAAATTCTTATGTTAGATGAAAACACTTATACCCCATTTGTCGTATGAGATTAATGTGACAACTAAATGAGATGATATACATTTAGGTACTTCAAAGATAATAAAACTCCATATAAGTGTTGGGCTTTATTTTCAGAAAGCTTGGTCATAGAAGAAGGGCAGGGGTAGCCCATTCATAGAACAGCCTCCAATGTACACAACAGGAGAATAGATGCTGTGTAATGTTTGCAAATATTTAAGTGCTACCAAAATATTCTGCTTAGTTGTAAGTTTCTTCAAACAACCAGGCTTTAGAAATCTCTGAGGTGTTCTATAATAGTCAAATGTTTTCTATCCTACCATATTACAGCTCCATAATTTTTCTTCTTGAAATGGTAATTAAAATGATAAGAACTTCTCCCTTTTCATCCTAAAAACAGTGTTGAGTTGCCAACTGCTAAACTCATGTAGACTGGCACTACTGATGTTAAGAATTCTCTGGGGAAACTCAGTCCCCACATATCTTAGTGCAAAAAAAAAAAGGAGAGGTAGTTTAGGGTCATAGAAAATGGCAGAGATTTCCATGACAAATACAAAAGAAATCCAGAACTGGAGAGCACTAACATTTCAGTAATTTTTGTTGTAATTTCTTTAGTTTAACAGCAGAACATTAACATGCACAACACTGGCCAGAAATTTGCAAATGCTAGGACCATGGATGAAGAAATAAGAATGAGCACCAAACAAATAACTTATGGGGGCAACTTTCTGTTTAAACACCATTTTAAATTTAATCTCATAATACAATGATGATCTAATGTACCCAGCTTACAATTCTGACACCTTGAGATGGGCTCTCCCCTATGAATCTGGGCAAGCTGTAGATAGAACAGTTTTAGTTACAAAGAAGAGATCATTTTCCTTTTATCCATCTTTTATATTATGAGGTACATCCAAGTTTATGATTATATCTGTTTGGTGTTATTCATTTGTGTTTACAAAGCACTGATTGTCTTTTTGACTGAAGCGATTAAACAAGCATAGACATTTCAGCAAACAGAGGTGTGTTTTAAAGTTTTTTCCCCCATTCTCCAAGTGACATATATACAGTAGGAATTGTTTTTCCATGCAGAAGTTTAAGGAAAGAATTCATCACTACTGATAGACCAAACTCACATTAGCACAATCTTGTGTGCCTCCTAGAGAGAAAGTACAGAAAGCTGATAATTCTCTTACTGTTTCATTGATTTTTGTTCTTTTTTTTGTTGAGACTGTGAGGGAGCCTAAAATAGATTTATTTATTCCTCTCACTATAAGGTATAATCTTTCTGCAATTGTTTCTGAAGTTTTCTAAAATAACCATATGAAGCTGGGTGTGGTAAAGCATACCTGCTATTTTTACTATGGGGGAGGTTGAGGGTGGTGCGTCTCTTGGGCTCAGGAGCTCTGAACTGCAGTAGGAATACAAGAAGATTGGGTGTCTACACTAAATCTAGCACAAACATAGGAGCTCCCAAGAGGCTACTAGAATGCTTAAGGAGGAAAGAACCAGCCCAGGTTGGAAACAGAGCAGGTCAAAGCTGTATGAATTAGCAGTCTGATCAGGCACTCGACTGACCACTGCACTTCCAGCAATGATGCCACAGATTTCCCTCTTACCTACTGATGATTGGGTGTGACCCACAGCTGTCTGTTACTGTACTTTGGAGGCTCTTGAGATGGAGAAAATGCATAAATAACTAATATGTCACTTGGCTGAGACATCACTTGAATACCATGTAAACCATAAGAATTTTGAGAGAGGCCAACTTTAGTTTAATGTTCAAGTCCACTCTTACAGTCTCCATTCAGGGTAAAGGGTCCTGTTAAGAAATCTTGGTGTCTGGATCCTAGACCAGTAGAGATCCATCATTTATCAAGTAGCTGAAAGACTGGGTAATTCCCCAATCTAAAAAATAGCACCAGAGAATGGTGGAGGCCCTACAGAGACACTGTTAACACCAAGGTGTTAGATTCCCTGGTAACCGGGAACACAGGAGCAACAGAGAAATAAAGAAGGGAACTTAAGAAGGACCCCCCCAACAGGTGCAGGAGACAGCTGGTGCCAGACAATGGATCATAGGGAAAGAATCTGGCTCAAGATTTAGCTTAAGAGGAAACTGAGGGTTGGAGAAGCTTGCCCAATTCTGCCTTAGCCATAAAGGGGCCTCTATCGACATGGGTGAAGAAGCTGACTGTGGAGTCTACCCCTTTCCTAAAACTCCGGTTGTGGAGGCCTCAAGGAAATTCAGTGTGACTCATTAGGGTCAGGGTCAGCTAAGTGGCATGGGCTTGAAGTCAGGAAGATCTGAATTTAAATCCAATGGCAGACACTTACTAGCTGTGTGACCCTGGACAAGTCACTTAACCCTGTTTGCCTCAGTTTCCTCATCTATAAAATGAGTTGGAGAAGGAAATGGCAAACCACTCCAGTATCTTTGCTAAGAAAACCCCAAATGGGGTCACAAAGAGTTGGACACAACTGAAAATGACAGAACTCATTAGGGTCAATCTAGGCCAGGGGTGGGGAATCTGCGGCCTCAAGGATACATGTGGCCTTCTAGGTCCTTGGGTGTGGTCTTTTGACTGAGTCCAATTTTTTTAAAATTTTTAGGCAATTGGGGTTAAGTGACTTGCCCAGGGTCACACAGCTAGTAAGTGTTAAGTGTTTGGTCGAGGCCGGATTTGAACTCAGGTCTTCCTACTTCAGGGCCGGTGCTCTATCCACTGTGCCACCTAGCTGCCCCATAAAGGGGTTGAAGTGGATGCTCTCTGACATCCTTTCTAGTTTTTTTTTCCCCCTTGGGCAATGGGGGTTAAGTGACTTGCCCAGGGCCACACAGCTAGTAAGTGTTATGTATCTGAGGTCTTCTCATGTATGAATTATGTATATGTATAGTTATGTATAGCAGGTATCCTGATTCTAAATCCAGGGCACTTTTCTGCTGCCATTCACTGTGCCTCCTCTTAGGAAATTACCATGGTATTATGCAAGGAGAGAATGCGTGCATTTCTGTTTTGTGCTAAAGCTTACCTGAATTTGAATATCCTTGGAATTGATTACTTCCACAATGCCCACAACATTATCAAACACGAGGCCAAACTTCTTGCAATTGTCTAGAAAAAAAACAAACTTCACAAAATATACGGAATTGCTTTTATATGAAATGAATTATCACAGTAACTCTAAAACCATAGGTCTACCCTACCAATTGTAATGGAATTTATTTTTCCTTTAATTTGTAGTGTTGATTTGTTACATTTGAAAATGTAAGCCACTTGCTTCAGCTCAGTGTCTGAAATCACAAGGTCATTGCTGTTCTCTTGATATTCCTAAAAGAAAAACAGACACAAATATTACTGTATTAATATATAGATGGGCAAATCCATTGATTGTTGAAATATATAGACTTTTGCATTTTTGTATTTTTTCTCTTTCAGAACCTCTTCCATAGGGAATGAGCTATAGCTTTTACATTTTCACTCTGTGGATGGGGAATGTTGCCAACGTTGGTTGGTCATCTAGAGTTACCTTCTGGCGAATTATGTTCTTCACCTCTATGCAGAAGAATTGAGAGTATCCCTCATGCTGGCTTGAGTTTGATGAGCATGCACATACATAGATCATGGGCTAGCTGTTTTCTTTGTACCTTCTTGCTGATGAGCTAGACTGGGCAAAGAAGCTAATGGGTGAGCAGTAAATCCTGTGAAACCTGCCCAATTGGGTGGAAGTATGAATGTTAAACACAGCCTCTAAAGGTTAAATCATTTGGAAATTTGGTTTAGGGAAAATCTCTAGTGAAGCCCATGGCCTTAGTAGAACCATCAACTCTCATCTCTATTCAGAATGTCATACTTCTGCTACTTTTATTTCTATTTTCAAAGTGTTTTTTTAACCAACAGAGATCTATTTTCTCTTCATCTCAATCTCCACACCATTGGGGAAAAATCCCATGCACCAAATATGTGTAGTAAAGCAAAGCAAATTTCCTTATTTTCCTTGCCAAAGAATACATGTCTCATCTGCACCTTGAAACCATCATCTAGTTCTCTGAGGAAGTGGATAGCATGTTTTATCATTGTTCCTCTGGAATCATGGATGGTCATTGCATTCATCAGGGTTCTTACAGCTTAAAAGTTGTTTTGTTTTACAATGTTTTGTTATTGTATAAATTATTCTCCAGGTTCTGTTAATTTTATTGTTTATCAGTTTATAGAAGTCTTCAAAATTGTTCATTTTTGTAATATTGATATTATAATATAGATTCTGCAGTTTCTATATGGAGAAATCCTTGAAAGTTGTGGATGCTATAGAGGGATGTGATCACATTAAGCCTGTGTCAACATAACAGATAATAAACATGTTAAGGTAGAACAAAATGTATTGGATATAGTCATTGAAAATGATTTGGTACCCTGTCTTCTGGGTCTCAATCTGCGTGGGCTGGATAACGATTAATACAGCTATACTTACCACTCTCCATTTCTTTCCTTCCAGCTCTAACACAGGAGGATGGTTCTGCTGCAAAGGGGACTGGGGAGAGATGGAACTTGGAGTGTGGTTTTTAGTAGGAGAATGAGTTTGTCCTTGAGCCCTCAGCTTGGGATTCTTATGTGTCTTCTGATCATCAGACACATGTCGGAGTCCTAGAAAAACCAAACTCATCAACAGGTATCCTGACACCTTGTGTAAAGAGAAACTATCTTCCTCTACTTTGAAGAACTACAAGAAGCCATGATTTGAGCAGAAATTACATAATTTCATAATGTTGTTCTATACATATCTTAGGGCCACCTGCTCTTATGCAAACTCCATGGGCCTGGGTTTGGTTATTCTATTTATTATTGAGCTTCAGGTCCGACTTTTCATGATCTCATTTCAGATTTTCTTGGCAAGGGTATTGGAGTGGTTTGCCATTTCCTTCTCCTGTTCATTTTACAAATGAGGAACTGAGGCAAACAGGGTTAAATAACTTGCCCAGGGTCACATAACTAGTGTCTGAGGTCAAACAAGTGTCTGAGGTCATATTTGAACTCAGGAAGATAAGCCTTCCTGATTCCAAGCCCAGTGCTCTATTCACTATGCCACCTGGGTACCCATAGCATCTAGAGGTTTAGATAATAGCCTAGTTGGTAATACTACCAATTGAAACACCTTTGCCTTGAGTATCTAAAGCTGATGGGTAGAATTTCATGTTTTCTTGGCATACATCACGGAAGGAAATGAAAAACAATGACATGGCTAATACTTTTATTTGTATGAAGATAAAATATTTCCTACCTTACCAATTTAGAGTATGCCATTAAAACTCTACTAGAATAATAAATCCAACTTTGTTTCACAGATGAGTAATCTAAAGTCTGGAGAAACAGGTAAAGGGTTTTTCAAGAAGGGCCAGGACTAGAATGTTTGTCTATTGACTAGTTAGTATATTCTTTCTGCTACACACACTATTATCTGTGCAAAACAAAACTGTATTGTCATGTACTTTTTAGCTTTTAGCAATTGTTACTGAAAATTGAATAGCATACATTAATCCTTTTCATGTACTTTTTGTTTCAGTAACACTGGCCTTCTTGCTATTCCTCACACAGAATACTCCATCTTTCCCCTACTGTATCTCTGCACAATTTTTTCCTCATGCCTGGAATTCATTTCCTTCATTAACCATGCCTTACCTGAACATAGTGAGATGGATTCACATTATAATTCTTCAACTACTATGTAAGCTCCTTGATAGCAGTCATAGTCTCTACTCCATTTATAAACCCCTCCAGTAATGTTTAGCTGGTGTTTGGACTGCAGAGGCAGAAGCCAAAGCATCAGAGTTACCTAATATGTTAACAACTGGCAGATTTTTAATTTGGAGCCCCTGAAGTCTGATTCTAACTCTATTGAGTTACTTAACCTGTAGGAGGGGAATATTTTGTCATCCCAATAGTATTTGCATGTGTATGGCATGAGAATAGAATGATTCACTTATGCCAACCAGGGATCAAAATAAGCGGCAATGAACTCTAGGAAGACTTGTACACCAGGTGTTACTAGATACGAGAGACGTGCTTACTGTTCTTGTTCTCTAACCTTTAGTAATTGCCTCCCCCTGGTTAAGCTGAGCAAACAAAGCTGAACGTGATGGTGAGGACTCTTCTTTTCTGCCTTCATTATCAAAGATTGGAGGTGGTCCTGGAGGTGGTGGAGGAGGAGGGGGTGAGGGGACACCCTGCCCACTGGAGAGGACAGACAGTACTGATGAAGGGGATGCTACTGGACCCTGCAGAAAAGAAAAAAAAAGAGAGGATTTAAGAAACACTTTTTGCTTTAAGATTTGTAACCTTAGGCAGCTAGACTTTTGCCAGGGAAGGACTCTCAAGAACTGTTGGCAATAGAAAGACTGAAATTCATTAAAGGATTCTCAAGGATGTAAGTCCATGCAGAAGGAGTGTGTGAACGCGCACGCATGCGTGTGATGGCCCTATCCACAGATTCACAGTATAGTTAAGAGACTAGCAAAACCTTAAAGATTAGTATTTGTTCACAGGCTCAGATCTGAAGGACACGGAGCTTTGTCTAGTTTAGAATTATAATAAAATTATATATATTTATCTACATATATACATACATACATACATACATATGTACATACATACATACACACACACACACATATAATATATCCCAAGAGTGAGATACTTTTTAGGATACTGTTGCTTGTTATTATATTTGAGTGAGAATTGCTGAGGAAAAGATTTAATGGGTCTTAGATACTTTTGAATCTTTTTGTAAGATTGAAGAAATAGATACTCCTTTTCTAGGTCAACTTTTCCATATATGGATGTAAGATAATGTATTCCCAAGCAAGTATTATATACTGTCTTGGGTGCTTCATAAAGGCCAAGCAAGATTAAAGATATAAATAATTGAAAAGTGTATTCCAGTGTTGATTTTGTAGTGGATCAGTTTAAAGGGCTGACCATTACTAAAAAAATGTAATAGTTGAGTTCTTGCCTTCTTTCCATTATGCAACATAATTTTTCAACACTAAATTCCAAGGTATTAAAAATAGATTGGTATGGTGAATTATGAAAAAGGGTAATAGGTTCATATTTTCTATGTGTTTTGTTTCTAAATAAATATGGCAAATGGTGTTTTAGATGTTAGTGATCAGTGATGAAGATTTGGGAAAAGATGGAAAATCTTTGTATAAAAAATAATTCAGTAGGTAGTACCAAAATTTCTGTGAGGAGAAAAGAAACCTGACAATTTTACATCTACTTCAAAAAGTCAGTATAAGGGACAAGATCCAACAGGACAAGACTTTTAAAAAAAAATCTTACCAGAGTAAGAGGCCAAATAGTGTGCAGTGAAATAGCACACTTGTCATTAGAGATTAAAAACTTAATTTAATTAAAAAGAGGCTGCCAGAAGGTTTAGAAAACTTGTTGGACAGGAATCCAGTTCAGTTTTAATGCTTGATACAAAATACCTTGCAATTAAAAAAACACCTTTGGCAAACTCTAAATGCTACTGGACAAATCTATTGAATTATGTTAATTCATAATTTACTCAATAGCACGAAGAGTACAAATCGATATGTCTGAATGTGCAGTACCTAGTTTCACTGGGGAAAAAAAACTCCACAATGCTTATTCAAACCCTATTTACCCACAGATTAGGTTATAAATAATTGTATTCTTTGTGGCTTAATGGAATCAGAATATTTTGGATTAAATCTTATCTCTGGCCTTATAAACCATATGATCCTGGGCAAGTCACTTAAACTTTCTTAGCCTTGGTTTTTCTCTGCGTAAAATGAAGACATCACCTGCAGTACCAACTTAATAGAGGTCTGAGGCTCAGATGAAATAATGTATTTAAAGCAACTTGCAAACTTTAAAACACTATGTATATGTCAGCTATTTTTAGTATCTCAGTATTTCCAGGGATAGATACCTAAATAAGTGAATAGGCTTTAGGCCTCTTCAGAAGTTTAGCAAAAAGCCACAATTTGAAAAAAAAATTTCTTGTTATTTGTTTTTGCTACTTCTATTCAGGAAAAACATCAGTATGACACCTGAACCATTCCTGTCCAATATAGAACCATAGATCTGGACTCAGAAGAAGCCTCAGAGGTCTTCTATTCCAACTCTTAGCCAACATCTGACAGGTGATCATTCAGTTCATACCATTTTTGAACAGCTCTCTGACCTAAGCAAGCACCAGACTTGAAAAGAAGTAAAGAGAGGAAAAAAATCTAAAATAGTGCTGGAAACTGGATCCATTTTCTTCTGGGTTTTAAAATCTTCTTTTTATGATATCAGGAAAGAGTTTGAGAATTTTATTTGAAGCATAAAGTGCTGATATTACTTTTATTCATCTAACAAAGTTTCAGTGCTTTGCTCATAGATGCTTTCAATTCTGAAGTGTTACTTTTATTCATAGAGTAAGTGAAAGAACAGAAAATTTGCTGCTAGAAACACGGCTACTTTGTACTCTTATTTTGTGGAAAGGGGAGACGATATGGGCATCTGAAGTCACAGTGGTTCTATCACTCTCAGAATTCAAGGCTGCCCCCAAAGAGCCATTAGGGAATACTGAAAACAACAAGCTACATATTCAAATTCTTGTAACTATGATACATTTGGATGGCTGACTCAGGAATACTAAACAAAGAATTCACTACACCAAAGAAATAAATGTTGAAAACCAAAGCCAACAAAAATAAGCGAACCCAGATGAAAAGCTGAAACAGTGTCTTTAATTTACCTTTGTATGCCCTCGAATACTGTAGTATCACCACCATAGAAAACACAATACAATGTCCTTGTTTCCAAGGTTACTTTTGCAATTAACATTCAGAGACTCTAATGCATAAAGTATACTTGAAACTGAACTGATTAAACATCCCCTTAACTGGATCACATTAGGGTACACCCTGGAATACACCAGGTTATCTTTTCCTTTCTCTCCCCTTCTCTCATATTGGATGTTGAGAGATGACATCACCAGACACTAAAGCTTTCTACATTATCATTAAGGTAGGAGGCTATTTAATGTCATCCCCATTAATTGGAATCATGGCAGCTGTCTAAGGACCTCCTCTATGGCCTGAGTTGTTCCGATTTTGCCACCCTGAAGCTTGCCTTGTAAGGGTATTTGGCAGCAAGGGTTGCCTGACTCCACAATGTATCAAATGAAGAAATTCACCATTCATTAGAAAATGATGTCAAAGATACCATATACAGAGCTTGCATTTAGAGATAAGGGATGACTGACTTTTCTTATTGTCACCAGTCATTAGAAAGATCCAAAGACATAGTGAAGCACACTGATTTGTGCCACTCCTTTGCCTGGGACTTCAATTGTTTTTGTAGAGGACCTCAAGGAGCCAGATGCAGTAAAATGTCTCTTCCAAAGGGACTTGAGTCTATCACTCCAGTGCTGAGCCTCAGGGCAGCAAAAGTACCAGAGGCCCTGTGCTTCTGGGATTAAGACATTGGGAAGTAGCAAAAACCGTGACTTCAGACGCCCATATCATCTCCCCTTTCCACAAAATAAGAATATAAAGTAGCAGTGTTTCTAGCAGCAAATACTTTTAGACATGCCTCATCTCTTAACAACTTGGGATTAGGCTTTTCTCCTTGGGCGACTGGAACACCAATTATTTACTGATGCAGATGTCCATTGAGAATTTACAGCCTGTATCACCACATCCCCTATAATGGGGGTGGAGGATCCAGAAGAGCTGACATCACCACCCTATCCTCACTCTTTGTTCAGTCATGATAAGATCCTGGATAGTGGGGGACCTCAATCCTCCATGCCATGGTACATAAATTCCCAGCTCCCTTTCTCCTTGTTCTTACAGTTCAGAGTCAACATCTTCTGTGGCAAAAATCCTTCCCTATTCCACTTTTCGCTGTCCACTCATTACTATCCATGTTGTCCTACTCCTGACCTTTAAAATCCATAGTCTTTCATATTCTCCCAATATCTCATATCATCCCATTCCATAATGCTCTCTTGATCCCTATTATTGTTTTTTGAGTTACATTTTATTTTTTTGTAATCTGATCATTTTCTCCGTTTCCTACCTACTTATCCCCACTACTGAAAAAAGAAAAGCAAAACTACACAAACATACACATAAAAGCAAAATTCATTAAGTCTCTTATTATTGTAAATAGAATCCCCAAATTCAATATTTACCATGCAGATTTTTTCTACATAAGGCATTGAATTAGTTTCAAAGGATGCAATGAAGAACCCCCCTCCCCCGGATCCTTTGGATACATGCACGCACACACACACACACACACACACACACACACACACACACACACACCACACAATGATACAAGGTAGAATGTGATGGGGTGGTCCAAAATGCTCAAGGAAGATTTTTGAGGAAGGGGAGAATACTTTCAATTGAGGATGAAGGTTGAAGAGGAAGATCATAAAAGGTTACATAGAAATACTACCTAAATCAACCCCTGAAAGAAGAAAATAATTTTAAAAGGCAGAGATATAGAAAGATTATTTTGCAAAAATGGAACTTGAGCAAACGCATGGAGGAAAGAGTCAATCTGGGAATGGGAACTAATTCATTAGATACTCATCTATGCCTGTTGAAATCCTTTTCTCAGATTTCATTTCCTCCATGAAGACAAGATAGACTACAAGTTTTAGTGATCTTCAAGTATTTAAAGGACTGTCCTGCAGAGAGGGGATTAGACTTGTTCTGTTTGATTCCAGAAGGCAGAACCAGGGGTGATGGGGGGAAGTTTCAAAGAAGCCAATTTAGGCTCAATACCAGGGGAAAAAAAAAAACATTTTTAACAATCAGAAAAAGTGGAATGGACTGTCTCAGAGGTGGGGATTTCCCCCTCCTTGACAGCCAAGTAGAAGCTAGATGATCACTTATTGGTTATATTTTATAGTAGGGATTCCATTCACCTACAGGTTGGACTAGATAGCTGTTATATTCCTTCCAATTTTCCGATTCCTTGGCTTCAATGCCCACCCTCTCACTTGCTGCCTGAGTAGCCTTGGGCAAATTACTTCCCTTCTGTTACTTCATTCTCAGTTTCCTCATTGGCAAAAGTACTGGGTTGGACCAGACAGTCTGTAAGGTCCCTCCCAGTTCTAAGCCTGTGATCCTGTGAAGAGCTTTGCGTGGTTTTCAGCAGAGGCATTTTGGGCAAGCTCTAAATGGATACTATTCAATAAAATACATTCTTTTGTGCAAATTAACTGATAATTCAGGTTCATCAA